AAAAAAAAAAAAAAAAAAAAAAAGAGGTCTGAGTGACAGGCATGAACCTGCAGGAACCCACACGCATCCTGCAGGCAAACAAGGGCCTGCCAAACCCCAGAGGCGCAGGAGAAAGAGCCAAAGTACCAAAGAAAACGCATTCAAAATGATCCCATGTCTGGAAAACCTGCAGCAAAGCAACCAGGTGTGGAGGTGTCATTAAGTTTCAGGAATGGTACAACAGAGAAGCCCAGAAACAAATGGGAACAGTTACCTAATGGTACATAAAATGGAGGCTCAGGGACAAGGGTTTGAGCAAGTCCTTTCCCAGTGGACAGTGCTGTCAACAAACTCTAGCAACTAACAGTAAGACTTTAAAATGACTTTGTTGGAGAAAAAGAGGCTCAAAAGCGTTATTCTCTGAGACCCAACTATCAACAAAAGATTTCAGGGCCGGGAGATGGCTCAGTGGAATAAGCGCTTCCCTGGCAAGCGCAAGGGCCTGAGTTCAATCCCCGGTTCTGGGAAAAAGAAAAAAAAAAAAAAGTCAAAGTTGACATCAAAGGCTGGTGGAATGGCACTATTCTGAACACTACTTGGCCATTATCTGTAAAAGTTGCATATGTATGTACAATGACCCTGCCAGCTTGTTCTTAAGTAAATAAATGCCCAAGAGAAACAGACTCACATAGTCACCAAAGACATGCACGTGAACGTTCAAGGCAGTATTATTCAGAAAACATATTAAAACACCCAAGTGTCTTTCAATTGTAAAATGGATAAAACCGGGGCCTGCCCCTTAGCTCAGTTTTCAGTGGCTGCTTCAACAAAGCAGTCAGGCTCAGGTTGCTGTGGTTCGATCCCCACAACTCAAGCCAGCCAATCATGCCCTGAAGGCATTCGGAGCAAAAAAAGGATAAACCATGTCATGTTCACACAATGGAATACTATTCGGCAATGAAAACTAACAGACTAGCAACAAAATGGATAGCTTTCATGCAGTTGAGCGAAAGAAGCCAGAAACACAAAAATACATACTATTCATCTTTTCTACAGAACCTGAGAAATTAAGAGGAGGACTGAACACAGGGAGTCCTGAGATACTTCTCCAGCTGTTTTTATTTTGACACAGGGTCTCATGAAGTTGCCTACTCCTGTGTATATA